TCATGCCTGAGTTCAAAAAGATCTCCCAGAACCAATAGTGAAGACACCAGAGTAACATTCAACTATTTCTAAAAGATTAGAAACTCATTGCACTATTGATGCAAGATAGTCAGACATTTTTTAAAATAGGAGCAAGCCTAAGGATGTCACCTTTAAAGGGAAGGGATACCTGGCTCCTAACCCTGACCCCAGGGCAAAAACTAAAAGAAATGCTTCTTTATGTAAGGCAATACTAAAACTCCTCTAAAACCAGAAAATTTGAACTGTTTTACATAACACTGAGAGTACTCAAAAATTTTGTAAATAACAGATTTTTCATTAACTCTTATGGGAGGGGAGGGCAAAATTAACCACCAAATTTTGTTTACAATTAATTCTCTAAGTGTTCACTTTTAAATCATGATACCTACTGAATAACATTTTTCCTGAATTACTCTTGAGGCAGAGTTCTAGGGGAGATTATTACTAAATATACTGAGAAAACTATGATGACCAAATAACGTAAGCATATAAGCATCATATTACAGCATGAAAACACGAAAAAGCTTTAGAGTCTGAGAAGTTTTTCTAAGCAACACATAAGCCATAAAGAAAATTGATAAACTGACAAAAAAAATTGAAATTCTACACAGATTTTTTTAAAAATGCACCATGAACAAACTCAAAAGACAATGAAAAATAGAAGCAAGAGCTTCTCTACATTGGATATTGTGAGCATAAGACAAAAGGCTAATTTTCTATTATTTAAAAAAATCCTTGAAATGATAAGAAAAATAAGATAAAAGTCTAATCAAAAAAAAAAAGGAAAATGGCAGACCGGCAAATTCATAGAAAAAAAAAAAGAAATATAAATGGTTTTTAAAAGTAAGCTTCTTATTACAGGAATTTCCAAATGCTTACAAGTTACAAAGTGATACAATGAGCGCCCATATATATATATATATCATTCTATTTCAAAAATGAAACACATGGTCAATTTGTTTCATTTATCCCAATGCACTAGTTCCTCCTAAGATTATTTTAAAGCAAGCCCCAGACACCACAACATTACAAATAAAAATGCTTTTAACAGTTACTTTTAAAAATATATCTATTATACATCATTGCCTTAGAAAATTAACAGTTCCTAATAAGGTTCAAATCTCCCCCAACTACCTCAAAATATATCTTCTTACATGCTGATCTCCAAACAAGACCCAAAAACTAGTCACTGCATATGGCTGATCTGTCTTTGACTCTCTTTGCAAATGCCACCTCCCTATTTTTCTTCTTGTCATTTGCCTGTAAAATTTCCCACATTTTGAATTTTGCTGATTGTAGCTCTATAATCATTTAATATTTTTTGTTATTGATATTGTTGCTCAAATTGTTCTACCTCTGGTGTCCTTCAGCCAAAGACCACCAGGAATATACACAGTGAGGAATAGTGGAGCATGTGAGTAAGGGGATGATAGAATCTATTCCAGGATTTGGGCATTGCTTTGGTAATTTGGGAAATGTTTTAGGAAAAACCTTTGGATATTGTGAGAAAGTGGGACAATTCTATAACTGAGTATCTCAATTAATCTGATCTAAGCTGGGGTACACTAAAAGAAAGACAAAGCAGCCATTAATGAAGAAGAAAATCACGCATTCAGGCTAAGTACTCTGTAGGCAGCACACTGACCTTAGTTTTGGTTTTGTCTATGCTTTGCCTCATTTTATCATGACCTGAAAGAAAACTTGTCCAAGGTATTCTGTGAGACTCATCATGTTTACCAGGAGAAAACATGGCCTCACTGAATGCAGGCCAGCTTCTGAACGGCAGGGCTGGTTTTCTCTTTTTTCCTTTCTCACTAAAAACAGAACCCCTTTGTGTTGTCACTGTTTCCTTTTGAGAGGACCAACAGTCTTAAAAATGTTTCCTTGCTTTCCACTGCAAGATGTTCCAGATTACTCCTATTCACTTTCCTGTTCCAAACCTAAAATCAGCCACTCCTCCAAGGGGCCTTGTTTCCTTTCAATTGAAATCACTATTTGGAAACCAAAATCCAGTCCCAAGATAGTCACTTTTCCCAGATTGTCATTACAACCTGGAGTGAGCTACAAGAATTCTTTATCAGGAAAACTATATCACTATACTGGCATTTCCTTTTCAAATTTAGGATTACAGGATTTTTGGATAATTTGATTTCATATTTGCAACTCTTTTCTCTTGTTAAAAATCTTAGTTCCTATTAATGTTAATCTAAATACATAATAATTTTTTTCTTTAAATTTTTAAAATTTTATAAAACATTTGTTTCCAAAGCACAAAAAACAAAACATGTGTCAGAAGTACAACTACTATTTCTTCTCTCCTTATTCTTTCTCTTTCTCCATAGTAGCTGCTTTTTAGTTTTTGGTTTATACTTCCTGTTTTCTCTTTATAGATATCAAAAAGACATTTATCCACATCCCCCACTACCTAGAAAACAGGTCAAATATGATACATCTTGTCCTACACCATGATTTCTTTCACTAACAACACAGCTTGCAAATAAATAGCAAATTGGCTCAGCTTCATCCATTAATAAAATGCAAATTAAAATTATTAAACTGACATTTTTCTGCCACATATTAGCCAAATTCAAAGAGTCAGAAAATGCACTGGGTGGGCTGGGGATTTGGCTCAAGCTGTAGCGCGCTCGCCTAGCATGCACAGGGCGCTGGGTTCCATCCTCAGCATCGCATAAAAATAAAATAAAGATGTTGTGTCCACTGAAAATTAAAAAATAAATATTTAAAAAAATTCTCTCTCTCTCTCTCTCTCTCTTTAAAAAAGAAAGAAAGAAAGAAAATATACTGGGTTAGTAAGAGTATGAAAGAGAAAAAAAAAGCATATCAATTTGGCATTATCTATCAGAATTTAAAACGCATATTCACCCTTCAGCTCACCAAGTCCACTTTTAGTGGTTTATCCTGCTACACAAGCTGGAATGCCTGCCTGGATATTTACTGCAACGATGTATACAGTAACAGAAGACAAGAAACATCCTTAACTTAGATCAAGAGGGGACTTATTAAATCAATGATGGTATAACCACAGAATGGAATATCATGCAATTTTTAAAATGAAGTAGATCTACATACATCAATATGGAATACTCTACAAGATATATTGCTAAGGGAAAAATGTAAGAAAGAACCATGTATTTGAATATGCCTATGCACATAAAAATAAAGAAATCTCTGATTCATATGCTACAAATAATTTTTTATATATTTATATATATATAAAACTGGCACCCAGAAAAGTTGCACAACCATCACAAAACACACACACACACACACACACACACACACACACGGCTGACTGCTAGAAACCTATGTAATTAATTAGTAACAGGCAATGCCTTAGGGGTAAGAGGCTTACTTTTCATTTTTTACCCTTTTATGAAACTTTTTAAATTTATTATTTGTGGTACATATGTATTAACTTTTTGATTAAGATATTTTTTAAAAAAATTCTTCATAAATAATTAAAAGAACTTGATTAAATAAAATGTCAAAGTAATGCTTTCCAATGTTCTTAGTTTGGAATCTGCCAGTGCTTCTGTAATATCAGGTTCAGTACAAGTTGGCCTTACCAATTGCCTCAAGTAACACTACAATTAACTGTGTAGAAAAACAACTCTCAGTATCTTCATTTGCAGACAGATCATGCCTGAATGTTTTGATGGTGAAGACTAGTCAGTCTTTAAAGAACAATACAGCTTGTACTCTTCAAAGAATAATACATCTCTAAAAGACCAGTAACTGAAAATGAACACCGACATGAAGTTCTTACATTAACACAATGATTTATTTTTGCTCAATTATGAATGACTGAATCTATACCAGAAATCATTTAACCACTAATTATAACATACAACACTTACGTATAAATGAAATGTAATACATTATTGTTAGGCATCTATGTAGCAGGCTGTACATTAACTTAAACATATTATCTCAATTTTTTACAGTAACTATAGAACATAGGCCTTATTATACTGAGTGTACACAGAAGGAAACTGTCCATAAGGGAAACTGAATAATTTGTCCATGGCCTCACAACCACTAAAGAGCAAGGCCAAAGTTCAAAATATATGTATGCAAAGTATAATTTTTGCAAAAATACCCTTTTCCTAATTAAAAAACACACATATTGTAAACAGATCATTTGCAAAACTAAAAGTCTTAAGGTGGTAAAATATTTGCTTTAATTACTAATAATACAGCCAAAATTATAATTTCCATAGAGTATAAAAAATAAAACAGAAATATTTTCATATTATTATAAACACATATCTCACAGCCTAACTCTACTAAGTAAAATGAGTATGGCTTTTAAAGATTAAAAGAACAAAAGCAATAAATCACTGAAATAAGTCTTCAAAAATATGTTTTAAGTTGCTTTATAAAATGGGTTAGCCAGGCATGGTGGCACATACCTATAGTCCCAGCTACTAGGAACACTAAGGCAGGAGGATCACTTAACTCCACAAGTTGAGACCAGACTGGGCAACAGACACTCCATGTTGAAATACGTGTGTGTGTGTGTGTGTGTACACAAAATCAGTTTGAAAAAACTTGATATTATAAACCACTGCAGGATATGGGGGAGGGGGGTTAGAAAATATTACATATATAAAAATAGTACATTTAATGAGACTATCTTCTTGGTTCCAGTGCAAAACCCTGAAGATTCTAAAGTCAGTTTCTTCTGAATTATCAGCATCTGAATGATGGCATTTTTGTTAACACTTTTTACTAAATGGTCCAGACAAAATCAACTACTCAACAATCTAATCTGCCTACATACAAAAGAAGCAAGACAAAACTCTCAGCACTGGGGCATGTTAAGAGCACTGAGCATACACATCCCTGTATGCATTTCACAGCACTAAAGACACTGTATTGCCACTGGCAGTATATCTGTCAGTCTCTTTTGACATATTTTGTCAGAATCTGGAAATCGGGAATCCTGTCTTACTCACCTTGGTATCTCTTGAGTCTAACATGATGAGAAACAAACGGATATTTCCTAAGAATGGGCTGAATTAAAGTCATGGTCCAGGTCCACCTCCTATGAATTCAGACAAGACCCAACTTCTCCAGGTCTTTTTTCTTAACCTGTAAAATGAGAAGCTTAGATTACAGTCCAAGCCAGGCATTTTACCGGTTTGTAGGGAAAGGTATAGTTCATTTTAGAACCGGTAGGAACACAAAGGATGTACATTTTCTAATCTAAGATAATCTACAATCACATATGTTGCCAATGGAAGGTCTGGGAATTCTTTTAACCCTCCTGCTCACTACAGAATGACAACTCCCTGAACACAATAGAAGAAAAAATGTTTTGAGTTAAAGATAAATCAAAGTGAACATCAAAGGTTAATGAATTCAATAATAAAAATAATTCAATTTTTAAATGGGCAAAAAGGATTTGGATAGACATTTCCCCAACAGAGATAAGCAAATGGCCAATAAGAACCCAAAAAGATTCAAACTCATGAGTCATTAGGGAAATAGAAATCAAAAACAGGAGATACTACTTCATACCCAGGTATAAACAAAAAGGCAGACAATAAATAACAAGTATTAGTAGCATCTGTAAAGATTGGAATCCTTTACACATTATTAGTGAGAATGTCAAATGGTGCAGCCCACTTTGAAAAACACTTCATTAGTTCCCAAAAGTTGAACCCAGAGTTATGGAAATACACATCTAAACAACAATTCGTACTCAAAAGTTCATAGCAGCATTATTTACTATAGCCAAAAAAATGTAAGCAACCCAGCATTCCTTGACGAATGGGTAAATAAAATATGGTATATCCATACAATGGAATATTATTCATCAGTAAAAAGAAATTAAGTCCCAATATATGGTAGAACATGAATAATCTTAAGAATATGTTAAATTAAAGAAGCCAACCATAAAGGATCACAAAGTGTATAATTCCGATTATAAAAAATTTCCAGGATAAATTTATAGATAAAAATCAGAAAGTGAATTCTTAGGAATGTAGGATAAATGGATGGTGACTGCTAATGGGTAGGGGGTTTCTTTTAGCACTGATGAAAATATTCTGAATTTCATTATAGTGATCACAAGCCTGTAGATATACTAAAAACCACTGAACTGAAACTCTTTAATAAATATATTGTATGATATGTGAGTTACATCTCAAACTTTTTTTAAGTCAATGAAAGGAAAAATGTAACATCAAGAATAACAAAGGAAGGAACACCAGCTACACTAAGTAGTACCATTCTGTGGAAACCAATCTAGACCTACTGAAAGTTAAGAAGTCACCACAAAGCAGGATGCTAAGAACACAAAAGCAGCAGCAAATGATAGATTTTCTGTTATTCTAGATTTTCATTTCATGGAAATCTGGCTCCTGACTTACCCTTCTCTCAAGGACCTAGCATGCAAACCTGATACAGAAATTTATAAGGTATGCCACTTTCCTGGAGCAAATATTAAAGATGGGAGAGAGAATTTGTCAAGATTAGAGCTCATTGATCATGAATGACTTCTGCTTATTCATGAACTCCACATTTCATCTATGATTCGTATAAGTTCAAATAAGAAACTAAAGGAAACAAAAAATAAAATGAATAGCATGTACAGATGACTTTCAAAAATGAAACTGGTATCCTCATTCATAAATTGCTAACACAGAATGATGAGCTCCTCCTAACAAAGGACAAGAGTTCGTGTGCCAGTAAGATGAAAAGAAGATGCCTGAACAGAGATTAGTCAACATGTCCTTCATAAGCCACTAAGATATGGATGCATATTCATACCAAGATAATATAAACCTGGGAAATATCATAAATACATTAGAAAATAGAATTCAGATACAAGATTCTAACAAGTCTCAATAATACTGCAAAACTAGGTTCAATGATCTAGCAAATCCAAGTCAGAGTGAAATCAGAAAACATTCCATCCAAATTCTTCAATTTACAGATGAAGCTGAGGCCAGAGGGATTTAATAACATACCCAAATTCAGAAGGCTCAGTAAAGGTAACTGAAAGCTGAAAATAAAATCCTAACTCCCAGGCTGTGTCCACCTGGCCCAATGTAACCTGCTACACTTGTACAGATTAAGTGTGTAAATTTAAAAAAAAAAGAAAGAAAGAAAAAAAAATCCTGACCCCTACTTTACACCAAAGTCAATTCTAGAATTCCTAGAAACTTAGACCTAAAAGTGAAAGACAAAATATAAAGCATCTAGAAACAAGTGAATATTTTCATAACCATGAGGTAGCAAAAACTTAAGTGGAACACTAAAAGCACTAACCATAAAGGAAAAGATTAATAGAAATTAATTAAAATATAGAATTTCAGTTCATCATAAACACATTACAAGAGTAAAACGGTAAGCCACATAGAAGAGGGCTTTAGAATTCAATATTCAACAAAAGATTGTATTCAGAATTTACATACAGTCTAACATTTTGATATGAAAAAGGACAGAAAACCTGAATTGTTTAAAAAGGTGGGGGGCGGCAAAAGCTGAATACTTTTCAACAGCGGAAATATAAATGGCTAACAAATACATGAAACAAGGTGCTCAAATCATAAATCATGAGGAAATGTTAATGAAAATCACACTGAGATCTTCTATGCAACTGTTAATATGGTTTTAAAAGGGTTTTTAAAATTGCTTAGCTGACAGTTTCAAGTAGAAGCGAGGCTTAAGAGCAATTGAAATTCTTTATGTTGGGAGGAATATAAACTGGTACAACCACTTGGGAAAACTGGCAATATCTATCAGTATCTATTAAAGCAAAAGACATTACAGCATACACTATGATCAGCTGTTCTACTCCTGGATATACACCCAACTAAAACTAATATGTGTACCAAAGACATCAACATACTATAATTACTTTAAAAATGTTACCAAAACTAATAATTACTTTAAAAATGTTACCAAAACAAAATAATTCTACTTATTCATAATTATCCAAGTATTAACTATTTAATATCTATCTGTAATAGAATGGATAAATTCTAGTATATAATTTGTGGTGGCTTTAAAAAACGGCCACAAATTCTTTGGTACAACTTCCTAATGCTGGGCAGTCTATGTTCCCTTTCCTTGAATCCCGGCAGGCTGTGTCTATTTCAATCAAGAGTGTGACACAAGTGACGTTATGACTCTGAAGCCAAATCACTATCAGGAAGATACCTCTGGGAACTCAGCCAACATGCTGTGAAAAGCATGGCCTTATGGCCCCCATGAACGTTACTCCAGTCAACAAGCCTGGATGATCCTGGTCTTCAAGACATCCCAGTCAAGATACTAGAAACAGGAGTGATGGAGCCTCTAACTCATTCTAGACCCCAACCATTGTAGAGCAGTGACAAGCCATCCCTGCCAAGAATTTATGAGCATGACAAAATGTTTTTTACACCACTAAATTTGGAGTGGTATGTCATGCAGTAATCAGTAACAAAAATTAGTGTGTTTGGCAGTAATTGATGACCAGACTACAAAAATAACATGGGTAAATCTCAGTACAATGAATGGTAAGAATCTTGCAAAAAGTTAGGACAAAGTATATATTACCCCATTTACACGAGTTCAGAACCAGACAAAAGTAATCTATAGTTAAGAAGTCAGAACAGTGGTTACCTTGGTGGAAATTTCACTGGAAAGGAGCACAACAGAGGTATTTGGGTGCTAGAATAATCCATATCTTGATCTGGGTAGTGGTTATTATAGTGTTGAGTTTGCATTTTTTTGTTATACTTCAAAAAATGTTTTAATCAGAAGAATCCAGTAATCAAATAGATGCAAATGTGTGAGGAAGAAATGAAGAATGACTCCAAGCCTCCAGGCATGGAGACTAGGTACTGTCATTAACTCAATAGTTACGCAATTGTGGCAAATAAATACAGGAGCGAAAAGCAGCAATCATGTCCTGTTCATTTTGTATTCCACTATCTACCAGTCCTTAATCCAAGTCATTCCAAGATACTCCTCTCATTTTCATCCTACCTCTATGACCCCCTTCTTGGTGACCTACATTGCCTCCTCTCTGTCTAGTTGCCTTTTTAATTTCAGGACTTTCCACCCAGGCTTCTCTCCTCAATTCTCTTTTCAATCTGCACACCTAAACATGTGGATAGTCTTTTATCCCCCATAATTCCAATCTCAGCTGGTACAACTTCCATAATTCCAGTCTCAGCTGATGACATCATCACATACTTGTTCTTTTAAGCTACAAATTTCTAATTTGATCAGGAACCAGGATTCCAAAATATCTTAACAAGTTGAGTTAGGCCAGGCACGGTGGTGTACGCCTGTAACCCAATGGCTCAGGAGACTGAGGCAAGAGGATTAAAAGTTCAAAGCCAGCCTCAGCAAAAGCAAGGCACTAAGCAATTCAGTAAGACACTATCTCTAAATAAAATACAAAATGGGGCTAGGGTTGTGGCTCAGTGATTGACTATCACTGAGTATAATCCCCAGTAACCTCCCCCAAAGAAAAATTGAAATTATCAAGAGCTCTGTAATGTTTTGAACAACCAATAATAATAATAATAAAAAGAAAGAAAAATTGAAATTAGCCAAATCCATTAAAAATAAACTTAAGATCATAAATATAAGCTCCCATGCCTGTGACCTAAAACTAATGCAAAACAGCAGAATGAAGAGACGTCTTAGTCAGGTTTTATTCAAGTCTAGGCTCAATATATGGTATGGTCATCCAAATAATGTAGCTATATATTAATAAAAATACAATATGTAGAAAAAGGAAGGCAATATTTTCCCCAGAGTAACAGAAGAAAAGTGCAGTATCTAGAATAAGAGATGCAACTCCATTTTTTTAATATATTTTTTTTTAATATGGAGTACTGTTCTCAATTCTAAGCACTATAACTTAAAAATGGAATTTTAGGGCTGGGGATGTGGCTCAAATGGTAACGCACTCGCCTGGCATGCACGGAGCGCTGGGTTCGATCCTCAGCATATTTATTTTATTTAAAAAAAAATAAATATGTTGTGTCCACCGAAAACTGAAAAATAAATATTTTAAAAAATTCTCTCTCTCTTCTATCCCTCTCTCTCTCTCTTTTTAAAAAGAAATGGAATCTTAAAATATA